ATGTTAGTTATTATCATCATCATTAATAATAATAAGTTGTCCTTTATCATCTGAGGCATCCCTTTGCTGGGTATCTCTCCAGACCTATATACCTGGTAACTAGGAGAGTTAGGGGGAATAGTGGTTAGAGCACTGGACCTGAAGTCAGGAAGACCTGAGTTCAAATCCTACCTCAGAAACATTCTAGCTACATGACATCAAACGAGTCATTTAACCATATACAAACTGCGGGGAGAGTGTGGCTCTGTGATTTCACTGACATAGAGAATTCCCAGATGAGGAATATTCCTCTGCCAATGCAGGTTGACACACTCTCTACAACTGAAAGTTGTAGCAATTCCCAGGTCACTCAGCCAGTGTGTACCACAGGTATTACTTGCACTCATGTCTTCTTGGCTCCAAGCCTAGCTTTCTATCTGTTAGGCAGTTAGATGCAGAGGATAGAAGGCTGGGTCTGGAGTCAGGAAGACCCAAGCTCAAATCTAGCCTCGGAAACTTCCTAGCTGTGTGTCCCTGGGCAAGTCACTTAACCTCTCTCTGCCTCAGTTTCCTGAACTGTAAAATGGGGATACAAATAGTATCTACTACCCCGAGGTTATTGTGAGGATAATATTTGTAAAGCGCTTAGCCCAGTGCCCAGCACATATAAATACTGGCTACTATTATTAGGCCAAGTATACACAAAACAGACAGGATAATTTTTTGAAGGAGGCACTCACAGTTGGGGGAGGGGGGCCAAGAAAAGTTTCTGGTAGATGGTAGCTCTTGAAGAAGATGGGGAATAGCCCATGCCAAGGGACAGAGAATGAAAACAGAATGTCATGAGGGAGAAATAGCAATAAAGAAGAGTGGTTTTAACCTTGGTTCAGGGAGACGTTAAACATGGTTAGTAAAGGTGCATTTTACATGGGAGGTGGTCACCAAACATATGTTCATTAGTGCACATGTCCTTCCTGCCTAATGAGAACATGGATCAAGGGCACAGACTCCGAGGATGGAATGCAGATTTCATTTACATTTCTGGGAAAAGGTGACATTGTCTTTGATAGTTGGTGAAGGAGAAGTGACTATTCTATAGGCTAAGCTTCCAGAACTAATTTAATTAGGGCATGTAGTAAAGCTGGCTGTGCCACTTCTTCAGGAGAGAAGGGCCATGAGTCACTCAGATAGAAAGCCAAAGCCGGGGGCAGACTGCCCTTTCCAAAAGGCGAGGGGGTGGTGGTGGAAATTGTTCTGTTAAATATTCACTTGTTCTACAAACGTTTTTCTTTTCTCCATGGTCCTAAGAAAAAGAGTAAGGTATGAATTGTAGTAAGTGGGGCTAACTTAAGGATAATATAATAATAATAATGATAATGATAATGATAATAATAATAATAATAATAAGAAGAAGAAGAAGAAGAAGAAGAAGAAGAAGAAGTATTTACATAGCCCTTCAAGGTCTGAAAAGTGTTTTATATATATTATTTCATTTGATCCTCACAACAACTGTGCGGGATAGGTGCTATTATGACTCCCATTTTACAGGTGAGGAAACTGAGGCTGAGAAAAGTTAGATGACTCGAACCAGGGTCCCACAGCCAGTAAATGTCTGAGATAGAATTTGAACCCAGGTCTTCCTGATTCTAAGTGCTGTGCTACAAAACCCACCACCTATCCATCTTTCAGATTGGCAGACTCAAGATACAGGGTTGGATAGGATCACAGAATGCTACAGTTCTCCCCTGGAGCAAGACAAGAAACCAAGAATCCTTTTGACTTTCCGCCTGAGAATTGGTCACCCAGCCTTAGACTGAACACTTCCAGTGAGGAGGAAAGTCACTACATCTGAAGGCAACCCATGCCCCTTTGGGACAGCTCTAACTTCTAGGAGCATTTCCTGACTCTAAGGTTCCATCCACACTGCCTGAAAGTTCTAGCCATCACCCCTCAAAGTCGAATCCCTCTTCCACTCAAGGGGTCTTCTCTTTTGCATTATTTAGCATCTGTCCAACCTTTGATCTCATCATTATGGATTAGGAAAAAAAAATTCCTGCCCAAGGGAGAAAAAGATTCTTCTCCCCTGGGCAGGATGGGAGATCCATTCTGATCACTAAGGCTATATGAATTCAGTTACATAGGCTGTCAGGTCAATGAAAAAAAACCAGTCTTCTTGATTTTGTCAAAATAGACAAAAGCGTAGAAGCTCCTCTTAAAACACACACTATATACTGACCTAAAGAGAAATGGTTCCTGGTTGTAGAGGACAGAAGGTTGGCCACAAAGTAGCCCAGTGGATAGAATATGGGACTGGGAGTCAGGAAGACCTGAGTATGAATTACGCCTCCCATACTTACTATTCTTTACCATCTCTAAAATGGGGATAATATTAACATCTACCTCACAGGGTTATTGCATGATCAAAGTGTAAAGTGATTTGCAAACTTTAAAGCACTATGTAAATATTATCTTTTATTATCATCATTAATAATGTTGTTGCATTCAGTCATTTCAATCATGTCTGACTCTTCATTACCTCATTTAGGGTTTTCTTGGCAAAGATACCGGGGTGTTTTGCTATTTCTTTCTCCAGCTCATTTTACAGATGAGGAAACCGAGGCAAATTGAGTGAAATGACTCGCGCAGGGTCACACAACTAGTAAGTGTCTGAGGCCAGATTTGAACTCAGGAAAATGAGTCTTCCTGACTCCAGGCCCAGCACTCCATCCACTGTGCCACTCAGCTGCCCCTCATTAACAATATCATCATCATTGTTTTTCTTTGTCTTCTGGGGCATGTCTTTGCTGGATATCTCTGGCAACTAGAAGACAGGTGGAACCACGGTTAGCGCGCTGGACCTGGATTCATGCAGGTGTTGTTCAGTCATTTTCAGTCATATCTAACTCTTTGTGACCCCATTTGGAGTTTTCTTTGCAAAGTACTGGAATGGTCTGCCATTTCCTTCTCCAGGAGTCATGAAGACTTAGGTTCAAATCCTGCCTCAGAAACTTACTAGCTGTATGACCTTGAGCAAGTCACTTGACCTCTTTCTTCTTCAGTTTCCTCATTTATAAAATGGGGATAAAATTGTTGTGAGGATAAAATGAGATAATAATTGTTAAATGCTTTGTAAATTTTAAAGCTCTATATAAATGCTATTATTAGGAGAAGTGAAGAAGATGGAACCTTCCTCAAAGTGCCATCAGTGATCCATACTCTTGGAGTCCATCCCGACTCCTGGGAAAAGAAGTCAGAATGTTTGGTGGAGATGGGATGCATTACCTTTGCATGGGAAGAACAGCCCATTCTCTGTTCTCTTTCTCTTTGAACCATGGGAAGTCCTTCTGTGAGACCTGTGTTGAATGAGTGAATGAGAAAGAATGAAAACGCATTTGTTATTTACTTACTTTGTGCCAAGCAGTGGAGAGAGAAAGGCAAGAAGTCTCTGCCTTCAAGGGGCTTACCTTTTATCGATGATTTATGCAGAACGCTTTATAAACTTTAAAGCAATTGATCAGTCAGTATTCTTAGTGATACGAAGAATCTAGGCAGCACAATGGATCAAAAGCTGGGCTTACAGCCAAGAAGACCTGAGTTCAAGTCACTAGCTCAGTAACCCTGGGCAGATCTCTTAACTAGAGGTTCTCAGTCTCAGTTTCCTTACCTGTAAAATGGGAATAATAATAGCATCGAGTTCACGGGATTGTTGTGATTATCAAATGAGATAACACATATAAGAATGTTTCCCAAACTTTAAACCTCATATTTAGGTAGTTATATAATATTATTAGCTACATAACAGCTATATAATTAGCTATATAATAGCTGGGCCTGGAGTCAGGAATATATAATATGTAATACATAATATAATAATTATTAACTATATAATAATATAATAGTTATATAATAGCTAAGCTATTAATAATATCATATAATAATTAAATATATTGTTATAACAGAGAATATATAATATCATATATTATATTTATAATGATGTCAGATGCCACCTTTATAAGATGCTTTTTCTGGTCCCCCTCACTGCTGTGTCTTCCCTTTAAGATTATCTCCAATTGATCCTGTATATATCTGTACACGACAGCAAGGTGACACAATGGATACAGTGCTCATCCTCCTGAGTTCGAATCTGGCCTCAGATACTTACTAATGGTGGCCCTGGGCAGGTCACTTAACCCTCTTTGCCTCAGTTTCCTCATCTGTAAAATGAACTGGAGAAGGAAATGGCAAACTGCTTCAGTATCTTTGCCAAAGAAAACCCCAAATGGAGTCACAAACAGTTGGACCCAACTGAAAAAAGACAACAACAAAAAAATCTGTTCATAGTTGTTTGCATGCTGTCTCCCCCATTAAAATGTAAGCTCTTTGAGGGCAGGCCTTTCTACTTATCTCAAGCTCTTAACACGGTGTTTGGCACACAGTAAGCACTTAATATATTCATGTCGTTGTTGCTGATAATGATCAATAGTCTTCCTATTATTTCCTCTTCCCAATGAGCTACAAAACAAAACCTGGTTCTCTGCACAAGAGAAATAAATGAACAGAAGAAAAGTTACTGGGAGAGTCTGCAGCCCAGTAGAGTCCACTGGCCGCAAGTTTTGATCCTCATATTTTAATTCTTCTGACACCAAAGTCCCAAATACATTTGACAAGTCATCCATCCACCTTGTGAAAGGAAAAACCCCAGCCCCCTGCGTGTCATGCTGTGCGTAAACCTCGCTAGGATTCATTCATCAGCTGTCTCACTGCCATAGTCATTTCGACCAATGTCTGACCCTTCCTTTAGGTCACGATTTAGCTCAGGAAGTTACTTTTTTCATGCCAGATTTGTAAACTTTCCTGTTTTTCTCCTTTGATAAAATATCCACTCTGTCCACTAGGCAATACAATGGTAAATTTATTATCAGTCCGTTCTGCTGTCTTGAAGAATGACATCAATGCAAAATGGCTATTTGGGCATCGTGGCCAATAAAGTCATTTTGGGAGTGGGAGGGAAGGATGATATTTACGAGGTTATGGGGGTATATATAAAGCCTGATATCAGGAGGGAAAGAATCTTCAAGTTCGGATTCCTCTCCTACAGATGTCAAGGAGGACGAGTCCTCCTCTCCAAGTCACCATGTACAAGCTAATATTCTGCTGCTTATTTTTTGCCTGCTTCTTAAGCCCCTTCTTGTCTCTTCCTGTCGTCGATTCCAGGGCAGTGGCATATCGGCTCTCAGGTAAGAGGCATTTTCATTTCCTTAGCTGTGGTATTTCTTAGGTCATAAGAGCAGCAGAGAGAAATGGAGAAATTCTTGTTATTAAGGAGGCTTCTTCCAGCTAAGTTTCAGCCACCAAAAAAAAAAAAAAAAAGAAAGAAAGAAAATGTTCTTCTAGGTTCTTTAAAATCAATAATGGAGTGCAATTTCTTCACAGATTCAAGGAATAGAAGGGTATCATGAGTATTTCATTTCATCTTCATGTTAAGCCTTTGTTTTGCTTTGGCAAAGTAGGAATAAAAATGAATGAATGAATGAATGAATCAATCAATCATTTATTCCTATGTGCTAGGCACTGTGCTCAGTTCTGAAGATGAAAAGAATGAAACGATCCCTACACCCAAGGTGTTTACATTCTCCATTCCATCCCTTAGAGCTCATCTGATACAAGTCCTTCATGTTACAGATGAGGAAACTGAGGTCCAAAGAGACTGGAAGGGGAGGCAACAAAGGTATACATGAATATTTAAAGAAAACAAACACAAAGTCATTACCTTCTATTCGTGATTTATGGAGAGTTCTTTATAAACGTTAAAGCAACAGATCAATCAATTTTTGTTATTAATATGAGGCTGTTAGGTGGTACAATGGACAGTGAGCTGGGCTTGGGCAAGAGGGTTCTAGCAGCAAAGGTGCTGCCTGAACTGCAGCTTGAAGGAAAAGAGGGATCCTATGAAGTGGGGATCAGGATTGCATTAACAATAGCTAACATTTATGTAGCACCTACTCTATGCCAGGTGCTCTACAACTATCCCATTGGACCTTCACAACAACCTGAGAGGTAGGTGCTGTTATTATTATTAACCCCCTGTTACAGATGAGGAAACTGAGGCACAGGAAAGTTAAGCCCAGGGTCACAAAGCTAGTAAGTATCTAAGCCTGTGGTCCCCTTCACAGAATGTTTTCAAATGCATAAAATGAAATACATAGGATTACAAAGGAAGCTAATTACATTGAAATACTACATACAAAAAAAAAAGATCACAGACTCCAGGTTAAGAACCTTACTTTGTTCCAAGTTTTTTATTTTACATATGAGAAGGAAATAACTTACTGTCACAAAGTAATATAGGCTGGACTAGTAACCAAGCTGGGTTTTGAACCCATGGTCTCTGACTTCAAATCCAACCTTTCTCAGCCTCAGTTTATTTATCTGTAAAATGGGGATGATAATAATAGCTCCTATCTCAATGGGGTATTGTGAGGATCAAATGAAATAATATTTGTAAAAGCATTCATAAAGCTCTCTATAAATTCTATTATTCTTAGTAGGATAATATCATTATTATTATCACTCTACTTTAATAAAAAATAATTACTGCAATAGTTACCAGAATGCATTACTGGTTGACTCACCTGGAGGTTTACCATAATATGTTCATTTTAATTTGAGCTAAAAATTAACCAGCTGAAAATGCAAATGAATCTCTGACTATGTTCTCTTTTACCTGTGGATTCACATTTCTTATGGAATTTAATTCTGACGCAGAATCATAGAACAACAGACATGTGAGAGACTCAAAGATCTAACCCACTCTTCTTACAGAAGAGGAAACAGAAGCTCAGAAAAAAATGAAGAGACAGTTTTATTTTAAAATCGAGAGAAAGCTGGGTCTTTTCACAAACCACAGATTTTGCAATTCCTTGTTTCCCTCTCAACCTCTGGTCCCATATGCAACTGCCACGTTACTCACACAGCATCTCTCAGCTTCTATAGGCATTGATCTTATATAAGCCTGACAGTAATTTTAGTGGCTTGATACAAGCATTAAGGTTATTAAATCTCCACTGTTAAAAGAGGAACAAAGAACGCAAGAGTAAATCAAAAGAGAGCCTTTGACTAAAACTTCCATTTTAAATCAAAGATGTGCATTTTTACAATGATGTAGGTAGCCCCAGACTCTTAGATAATATGTGACAAATGGACAAATTTTAACTAGGCAGAAGTTTGTCTTAGGGGTGGGTTAAAAAAAATAACACACAAACATTTTCAAGTGCGCTCCTTCCAAGAGTAGTCATTTATATTATGGCTGATGAAATTTTTGCAAATCGAGATAGTTAATCAACCAATAAGCATTTATTAAGCACCAGTGCCAGACACTGCTAAGTACTAGAAATAAAAATACAATAAAGAGCTTACATTCCAATTGGAGAAAGCGATAAGGACAAATGTAAATATACAAAGAGTAAATATAAAGAGAACAAACAAACACAAAATAGTTGAATACTGATGAAGTGGGGAAAGACTTTATGTTCGAGGTGATGCCTGAATTGAAGCTTGAAGCATTTTTATGGACTATTTGTAAAGCAAGTATCTGAGACTATGGACCCCTTCACAGAATGTTTATAAATAAATAAAATAAAATACATAGGATTCCAAGGAAACTACTGTTGTCAGAATATTAAAAAAATAAAAAGTTCACAGACTCCAGGTTAAGAACCCTTGGTTTGGTCCAAATATTTTATTTTAATATGAGAAGGCAGCCCCAGACTCTTAGATGACATGTATCTCATATTAATAATACAAATATATACTAATAATACCTAATTTTTAGTGGACTACCCAGGGGTGGGGAACCTGCTATCTCTAGGCCACGTATGGCCCTCTAGGTCCCCAAGTGTGGCCCTTTTCGAGACTGCAGGTTCCCCATCCCTGGTACACTAAAAAAAAAAAACTAACATTTACATAGCACCTACTACATGCCAGGTGCTTCACAAATATTATCCCATTTGACTCTCACAACAATCCTGCCAGGTATAGGTGCTGTTATTATACCTATTTTACAGGTGAGAAAACTGAGGCACAGAAAAATTAAGTGACTTGCATAGGGTCACACAGCTAGTAAGTATGTGAGCCTGTGGATCCCTTCAGAAAAACGTTTTTAAATGCATAAAATGAAAACATAGATTATAAAGGAAACACTGAAATAGTTATAAAATATTATATATACTACCATATTATATATAAATATCTGTATATATAAAATATATATAAATGCATAAAATGAAAACATAGATTACAAAGGAAACATTGAAATAGTTATAAAATATTATATATATAGAAATATCATCAATAGTAAACTACTGATTAGCTTCCAAAGCTTTTCATGTATTTATCACCCCCACATCTTCCCTAGAACACATACACACACACACACACACACACACACACACACACACACACACACACA